ACAGGAACTAAAATAATATCTAATCCCATTTTATTTTACTTTACCTTTTTCATTTATGAACACAAAATCTTTCTTTCTCCCGGTGGGCCTCTGCCTCATTAGGGAAACGTTACAATGTAGTTTTGTTTGGTAGGTAATAAACTTTATTTCTATTTTTAATTTTAATTGTTATATATATATATATGCTTTATGCTTCATTTTCCAAATACTAATAAAAATAAAATAATTGGTTTTAAATGTATTGATAACACTTTTAACAAGATGAAAGTATTAATATTTATGATTCCATTTCAAAATCAATTAACAATTAGAAAAGTAGTTCATGTCTATTATAAATCATTGTTATGTCTTTTTTTTTTTTCAGTCCTTAACAAGAAGAAGACATTTTCAAATTTCTTTTGCTACCTATAAAAATGTTTTTTTTTTAATTTCATTTTCAAGTTTTCAACATTCAAATTTTAAGTTTATTGTACTAAAAAGAACTTTTAAGTTTATTTTATTTTAATTTTAAAATTTTAAAATATCTATTTAAATCTTTAAACTTAAAAAAAAAACTTGGTCATCTAATATTTACTCACCCACCTTACCCAATTTATGTGACCCATTTAAAAAAAATTCATAAAATAAAATAGATGTTTCGAAAGTTCACAAACTAAAATAGAATAATGAAGGTTTATGAATTAAAAGAGATGCTTTCCAAAGTTAAAAAACTAAAATGAAATAATCATGATAATTCATGTACTAAAATCAAATTTTAACTCGTGAAATAACATTTTTACATACACAACCAAACCAACTTAAAATCAATTTCCTAATTCTATATAAAAGAAACATTTGATAAATAATATTATCGTATATAATAAGTTAAAATAAGGATTTAATCCAAGTATATTCAAATTGGTAACAATTTAGTTCATAAATTTGTTATTTAACAATTTAGTTCATGTAGTTAAAAGTTTGTAACGATTTAGTTTCTATTGTTAAAATTTTTGTTAAATTTCTTATATCTGTAGATCAATATACCGATGTATGACCAAACATACTTATAAATTAAAAAGACTATAAAAATCAACATTGAATTTTGATGAGATTTTATATCGTAAGAACTAAATTGTTACAAATTTTAAAATATATGAACTAAATCGTTACCTACTAAAGTTGAATGACTAAATTTCTGTCAATTTAAAACTACATTTCAAATGTGGTTTTCAACCTATATAATATTAACAAAAAATTTAAATAGACAGGTTTTACTTTTAAATAAAAATTATGTAAAAATTATATTATATAGATTGATTAATTATTTAATAAAGTTAATAAAGAAAAATAGTGAAGTGGTTGAAATTACAAAGCAAAGGCATGGAGTTGTAGACTTATAATTGTGAGGTTGCTGTCATTTTCAGGTTTAATTTGTGGCATTATTTGGTCCACAATTAATATAATATAACGGAAAGCCGTTTTTTTTTTTGAGCAGTTCAACTTTTTTAAAAATAAAAATGTATTTTCTTTTCTATTTAAGAAAAAAACAAACCATTTGGGAATCAAGATTTTATTTATTCTTTTCCAGTTTATTTCCAATAGCTGTTCCAACACTAATTCTTATTCATTTTCAATTAATTAAACTCAATATCTTATCTATTCCTTAGGCAACATTTAATAACATTTTATTTTTGAAAATTTAACTAAAAATCACATAGACCTGTTTCTAAAAACTATTTTTTCTAACATGATTTAAAAATTATTTTGAGAGCATATTACAAATAATAGTAAATAAGCATAAAAACCAAAAACAGATCTAAACTTAAATATAATTAAAAAAATTAAAGACTAAAATAAAAATTTCTTAAAGTTAAAATATTAGAACCATATTAGTATCTAAAAATTGCTACATAGTATCACATGAAGCATCTCTACATTTGGCTGTTGGAGAGTCCATTTCATAATTTATCTTTTAAAATAATTGTTTTGAATTATTGTACTTTTTTTCCCCTTTTCCATTGAATTATATTAGAGGTTTCAATGTATAATATATGCAAATTAAATGCAATGGCTACCGAACCAAAGCCTATAATCTCAATAATTTCACCTATCAAGCTCAATGTGCAAGATTCTAGGGCACTTAAAACATCTTCCAAATGTAGTAATACTTTGGGTTGCCCTTGTTAGATGAGTTTTCGAGTTCGTCTAGTTTGATTTGGATAGATATCATCGTAACATTTTGGTTAGAGATAAATTGTGATGCCCGACTATGGAATAATGGTCAAGAAAGGCAAAGGATTAATAGTCACTGCCTATACCAACAAGGTGCACATTCTTTTTTGGTAGCTCAATCATAAGAACTTCAAAGTTAAGCGTTCTTAGCTTTGCTAGAACAGAACTTGACGGTGGCACGGTCAAGTCGCAGGGGAATGCTGGGGCAAAAAGGTGTTTAGCGTTTAGGTTGACAATTTTACAATTCTTATTAATGATGGATTAACCTTAATAACTATAATATAATATGTTCTTATCCTATATGATGTCGTTAATTCATATAAATTGTTGATTAACTAAGGCTCTATTTTATAATTATTCACTTTTCGGTTTTCTGTTTTGTACATTACTTTTACCAGTGTTTCATTATTATTTTTAATCCTACTCTTAAAAAACACTTTTAAAATATAAACCAAAATTTGGAAACTATAAAATATTGTTTTTAAAAACTTATTTTTGTTTTGAAATTGGACTAAAAGCGAAAATTTATTTTTAAAATACATGTAAAACATAATAAAGATATTGTAAGAAATCAAACATAATTTAAAAAAAAAAAGCTAAAAATTAAGGGTTTGTTTGATAAATTATGTTTTTAGTATATTTTAAAAAATAAGCTTACAACAATACTCCTACCTATGTATTGTTTTTTTCTTGTTATTAAACTTCATTTTCAAAATCTGAGCCAAAATTTGAAACTAAAAGTAGTTTCCAAAAAAAACTGTTATTAAAATATGATTAAAAATTCATATATCTTTTGAAAAAAAGTGAAAAATATATTAAAAAAAATAGTGAGAAAACAGGGCTAACTTTTAAAATAGAAAACTAAAAATGAAATTGCTTTAATATCGATTACTTATTATTAAAACCATCATTCATTTAACATACACACCAATTATCTTTAAAAAAAAAAAAAAACACATCAATTAACTGACTGCCATCATAGTAATAATTAATTTACACGTGTTACGATTTGTTCTTTATTTTATTTATTATATTACTTTTTTTAGCAACTATTTTTATAATATTTTGTTTAAATTATTTATTGGATATATCTTTGATATAGATTGATACGAAAAAGATTAGATAGCTGAAAAGATATAAACGATTTGACGAATATGATGGACTCCAACAAAATAATTTGTGTTTGGAATAACGAATAAGTAATTTTTTTTATTGAATTTAATTCGAATAAGTTTTAACACTCATCTTTTTCTTAGGCCCATTTATTTAATTTAAACGATTATAACAAATAAACTAAAAGGATAAAAAAGTCTAAATAAAATAAGTAGGAATAGGAGGTGTCGATTCTCTTTTTCTCCCTCCTTTTTAGAGTTTAGCAATAGGTGGAAATGGGATTAGAAATTAACCGCACATCTAATTGGTAATTTAAAAACAAAATTACCCATGGTAATTACCAACTAAATATTTAGTTCAATATGAAATAATGATAATTAATTAAATAATTTTTGTTATATATTTTGTAAAATTATTAGTTTACCCTATTATATATAGTATTTTTACCTGTTTTAATTTTTAAAAAATGAAATAAGTGTTTAAAAAAAAAACAAAACATGAAATTAGTTTATAATATGAAATAGTATATTTATAAAAGTTTTTAATTTTTTTAACGTAATTTGATTTCAAATTCAAAACCTAAAAACATCCAAATTAAATCGATCTAATTAAGTGAATCTTAAAACAAAAAATAGAATCCAAATTGCATACCAAATAGGTCCAAAACTTCAAACTTGCAAAAAGTTACTTTTACACCTAAGCCGTGTTAAAGTTGGCAAGTACATTTACTTGCATTAAGAATAGATTTTTTTTTCCTAAAAAAATAAAACGTGAGGATTCAAATTGAATACCATCTGATTGAACATAAATGCTTTAACCTACCGTTTAAAGTCAAAAGCTTGAAGGCGAAATTTAAAAATGAAAAAGAGGTTAGAACTAAATTATCTATCTAGAAAAAACAGACGACTCCTTATATATTATTAGTAAAAAATGCATTAAAAAAATACCAATGGATCAAATTAGGTTAAAAAACACTTTTAATCCCTGTACTTTCACTAAAATAACAATTTAGTCACTAAACTTTAATTTGTAACGATTTAGTCCCTGCACTTTCAAATTGGTAAATGATTTAGTCCCTACACTTTCAAATTGGTAAAAATTTAGTCCTAATATGCAACGATTTAGTCCTCATCGTGAAATTTTTTTTATTAAGTTTCTTGTATGTATAGATTGATAAATTAAAGGACTAAATATGTTTATGAATTAGAAAGATTAAAATTGTTATATGATAAAATACGACACTTAATTTTAATAAAAATTTTTACGATAGAGATTAAATTGTTACAAATTTTAAACTACAGGGATTAAATCGTTACAAGTTAAAATCCAATAACTAAATTGTTACTTTAGGGAAAGTACAAGGACTAAATCGTTATATATTGAAGTTCAGAAACTAAATTGTTACTTTAGTGCAAGTACGTGACCAAATGTATTTTTTAACCATTAAATTATTGAGAAATTAGTGACAGGTGAAGTGTAGGAGCCTTCCTATTGATTGATCATGCACCTGAATTAGATATCCAATTCCTTCGATTTGAATTATCCAGAGGATGCCTTATATTATATAAAAAAGATGGACAATAATAAACGGATATCTCAATTCAATAGAAGCCTAAAGAATTAAAATGATACCAAATAACAAGAGATACGTAAAAAAGGTCCGCGAATACAGTACATCCACACAAGGTTCCAGATATATAGTTTCCAAAGATTAAGAATGTTATATTCAGGATCACAAGTTTATAACATTGAACTTATCATATAAAGTCAAGACATGCAACGGTTAAATTGAGAGTAGAGCGTGAAAATGCCGAAACGACAGGCAGCTTCATCTTGCAGAAGAAGGTTAAAGAAGATAGAAGGCATAACACATCCTCATAAACATGTAAAATGCAAGAAACTCGATACCTTGTGTGCCTATGCTGTTTAGTTACGCTGGATCGGCATTGTGCCACCCGCGAGTGCATGGTTGAATTTCCATGAACTCATCAAATTCCTTAACATGAATGTCACAGCATTTCCACTGAAAATCAAATGGATAGCGGAGAAAAACATAAATATCATGTTCGGCAGTGTATAATTTTGAAGCGCCGCGATAATGAAAAAGTTTAAGTAAATAGATGTATCTCACCCCTCTCAACCGGTCGTGAAAAACAGGCGGACCGGGATGGAAATTGCAGGCAGTGTCATGATTCTCCATCTCTGTGAAAGTTTTACCACATCCCTTATTCTTGCAGATCTGAGGTTCATTTATACCAATTATCTTTTTGGCTGGAGCAGGAGCGGCTTGAGAATCTGCGTTGGTTTCATCAGGTAAAGTTGAGGCTTCATTACTAGATTTGTTATCGCCTTTGACTTGTGAACCTAAGACCAAAACTTGGATTAGATTACAGTATTAATAGTTGGAARGAACTGCAGTGAAACAAGTAACACAAAATAAAGGTGTTCCAATACTCGGGTGCAAAATTGTGCGACATACAATCAAACAGGATGCAATGAGATAGTAAAAACTATTAAAAAGCAAATGGAGCAAGGACATCAGAAAACTCCTCTCCATAAAACTGAAAGAAAAGAAGCCAATCGGCTAAAGAATTTGAAGTTCAGTTTTTTTTTTTTTTTCCTTTTTAATAAAGAGACTACTTGAGAATGAATGAAAACTGAGGGCAATACAAAAAGAGAAAATCAAAATCATACGAAGCCAAAAGAGCTAACAAGGAAACCAAAAAGAAACAAACAGAGTTACAGAGGGGCTCCAGTTTAAAAGAATGCAAGATGAAGTGAAAATTGTTGGTGAAATCAAGTTTTTGCTGTTGCAGTGCAGATGGTCCATTAACGCGGCTAGGTCAAGCTTAACAAATTTTAAGAATCTAAACATATCCAATTTACTCCATTTTTCCACGAAAATTGATAAATACAGCAACTTTTCTTCTTTTCATCAAAAGTAAAACCATAAAAATCGCTTCCAAAATTCTGTTGCTGCAACTTCATATGATAGAAATATTTAAGCCACAACTATACCCTCTCAGAAAAGAATTCAAGAAAAGTAACTTACCATGGTCTGAACAAAAGAAACCTTGCCGGCACCTAGCGCATGACTCTTTCCCTAATGTATTTGTTATGGAAGACACAGGGGCCGGACTTGGCTTCTTTACAGCAGTGGATGGCTTGGACAAAACTGGCCTTTCTGTTGTATGTTTTCCGGTCTTGCATCTTCATTCAAAAAGGTCAACGATAAACGGCTTTTGAAGATCAAGCTAAGCTTATTCATACCATCCATCTTAGTCTTATAAATAAATGATATGCTCACTGATATAAAATGTGGATAGATTTACACTTTACAGAAATGAAGGATTAGCAAAACAAAATATATTCTTTGTAGAAGAACATATCAATTCTTAATCTTTTATACCAGTCATCCAAGCAAAAAGCAGAATGAACACACCACAAAAAATCTTCCTAGGTCTAAATGAAAAGCCATAAAAGCAGAAAGTTAAGACAATAATTCAATTCACACCACCCATTTTTCAGAACGTGAAGGGCATTGTTGCGGACAATTGTGAATGTTTCAAATTGGTGTATGACAGGACCCAAGACTAGAAATTGAGTATAAAAATGAATATAAGACGTATAGCATGTACATTTAAGAAAGTTAACAGTAAATGTCATATAAAAAATTGATGAATTAAAAGCAACAGTAAATATATTGGTCCTAGAGGTACGGAGGCTTGGTCAGTATTTGCATAATATTTGCAATTGCCTAAACAAAATTAATATTTGTCTTCTGGGTAAATGGGGGAATGGAATAGCTCACATCAATTAAGCATGCTAGGCTACTCAACATTTACAATTCACTTGTAGGCAATGAGTTACATAAGGGCAACATTATTGAGTTCCAACTAAAAATAAAATCATGAAAAGAGATCTGACCCTGGAATCTCTAAAAATAAACTGAAATCGTGGCTTCTTTTCTTGCAACAGCTCCATTCTTTCGTCCCATCATGAAATATAGGCTGTAAAAATTACTTCAACTTCAACCTTCTATCCAACATATATTTAAAGAAAGATATAATCCTTAGAGGAAAAGAAACTAAGATAGTCTTGAGAGCCAATAAGTGGATGTGAACTTACTCCCTGGCAGAAATGGAGACCACGAATTTCCAGAGCGTGCAAAGGAAACAAGAAAAAATTAGTAAAATACTCACCACACCCCAAAGGAATAAGACAACGTAATTTGTGGAGGAAAACATGTAATAACTAAATAGTTGTTTCCAATTAAACTGAGAGTCATTTATCATATAAACAACTTCAAGTACCATGAACATAAGCTTTGACAGAAAAAGGGTCTTTCAACAATTAATTGCAATTAAATTAAAAGTTCCACTGCAAACAATTTTTTGGCACTGTAGTTATACAACAAAAAATTATATCATAAAGTAGAACAAGGGCAATTTAAAATATAAAAAGTAAAAGGTATAAAAACAAAACAAAAAATCCCAACATTTTTTTTTTGATATCCGTGTGTGCGGGCCAGCTTGCGCGTACCTCGACTAATCACGGGCCAACTGCCTGACCCTACTACATTTGGTTGACAAGGTAACTCGTAGGATATTAAATCCTAGGTATGTGGCCACCATGGTTTGAACTCATTCCCTCTAAGTCCTTTGCTATTTGCATTGACCCTTATTGACCACTAAGCCATCCCACAAAAAAAATAATAATAAAAAAAAAAATCCCAACATAATTCAATATGCTTGTAAACCAACCCTGATTCATTTTTTAAAAAACTGATTCAGTTTTATAGACATATATATTCTTTCTGTTCAGTATACGGCACACCTTCACCTCTCTTTTGCAAACAAGGTACAAATACCCTTACCTGCCTCCTTTTCTCTCACCTAAATATTGTAGAGGTGTGAAATCCTTGATGTTAGTTCTGATATCCCAAGAAGCCAGGACATAGACACGAAACAGGGACCCAATACAACATGTACACAATGACACGTTAATTTCTAAAGATTCTGGATCTTTTTTGCTGTTTAAAGGATATGGGAACATAGTTTTGATTCATCATTTGTAAGGTTGGTGAACTTGGCAAGATTTGCCCATCAATTGGCCAAATGGCAACCTCCTGAATTTCCTACTCGAATGCGAGAAGTGATTCTAACTACGAGATGAAAGGTCATCTTGCTGCACTGGCAGTGGGCTCGCTAACACATCCAAGTACCAGGGAGATATCCAAATTGAAGAGGTTGAGCTATATGTATATATAAATTTCTGGCAGCTGTCTAACCCTACAACATTTGGTGCTGAAAAATACATAGGAATTAGTTTCTAAGGTAGATAGCTATCATAGAGTTTGAACTCATTTCTTCTCAATTTACTTAGTCCTTTTGGACCAATGAGCCACCTATGATGGTTGGTCGAGCTTTTCTCAAATAGAAGCTGTTTTTGGGATGGAGAGACTAAGGTCTGAGGAGACTAAGGTCTGATCTCTGATGGTGGTTACAGCCAAAGCTCTTCTTCCACACTGGCTTTTTTGGCAAGTATGTTTGAGCTGCTGGACCAAGGAGTGAGCCTTCTGAGTTGCTAGATAAACTAATCCAGTCATTGACTCATTTGGTAGTCTCCATGAGGATCCAAAGAAGGCTTGGAGACATGTACATGTTTGGTCTCATTTCAATGACATTTCAGCTAGGGTGATCATCGGTCGGTCGGGGTCGGTTTTCAAAAAATAGAAACCTTCTTTTCATTCTTTTATTACTTTGTCCGTTTATCAATTCAAATAAAAAGATTAATTAGAAGGAAGAAGAAAAACAGTGAGAGATCTCAAAATCAAAGGCAGAAGAATGGTGATGGATCTCAAAATCGAAGGCAGAAGAACAATGATGGATCTTGAAATCAACGCACGACCACACCACGCCACACTACGAACATGAACAAAGGCAGAGGAGAACGAAGGGGATTCCGATTCGATTTGGCCACGAGCATGAAGCCACGAGTGGGACGAAGGGATGCTGTGCACGAAGCCATGGGATTTCAGCCATGAACAATGAAGCCACAAACAAAAGGATGGGATTATGAGAAAGATGAGAGAGTGAGAGAGAGGGTTGCTATGAGAGATTGAGAGAGGGGGTTGGGAAGACATCTTGCAGCACGAATAGAAGATAAAGGAAAAGGGGTAAAAGCCCTAGGCGGCCGACGCAACAACATATATATATTTTAGTATTAAAAAGTTGGTCGGTCAGTTAGTTTTCATGGGTTTAGTGCGACCGACTGACTACTCAGTTATGAACTTTAAAAACCAACCACCGATTGATGCCCTTTTAAAACTGACCCATCGGTTCGGTCGATTTGGGTCGGTCGGATCGATTCTTTGGTTGTAATTGCTCACCTCTATACAGGTATGTTTTTCTTGGTCACTTCCTTAATTGCCTTTCTGGTCATAATTTGTATTTTACCTTGTAGATAGTTCAAAAATTAAATTTACTTTACCATCTTTTTTTTTTAAATCACATCCACTCTTCATTGTTGTCCTCGGGAGGAGAATCACAAAAGATTGAAATAAAAGAAGCAAGACTTACTCACATTTCAGGTTAAAGCTTGATACAACTTATGTGAATGTTTCAACTTTTCAAGCTTCAATGTCTTGCAATGGTGGGCTAAGGAGTAGGAAGATCAAGTGGGCTGTTCTAATGGGCTTTCTTTGAGTAGTTTCTGATTGATTACCAACTGATTCAGGTTTTAATTAAAATTCCTTGCGCCCTCTATCCTACACCTATCATTGTTGTTCGTTACTAAGGCACTCGCCTCACCATTATTGTGGCGCAAAATGGTGCACAATGGTTGGGCACCATGTTGAAAGAGCTCTGCGTTGCTTCTTGCAAGGCAGGAAGTGTCCACCCCATGTTGTCTTGCACCATAGCTCAAAAACACTGCCTCCAGGGGTCCCAAAAGTGGTCTATCATATCCCAGACTTAAGTAGCATGGAAGTTAATCGTCCGTCCAGAAGGTGTGGTCATGCTAGACATTGAGCACTTGTAGCAATTTCAAGACTTAAGGAGCTTTAAGGCGACTGTTAGAGAGAAGGATTAGCTTGAAGTGGACAACTCTAGTAAAGGACATTGCTCAAGTTGAAGGTGTAGCAGATGAATCAAGCAAGGAAGATGTCACCTAGATTAGACTCTTATATCCCTTATTACCCCTAATCCTAATCCTGGCCAAGCCTTTTTGTTAATGAAATCAACCTTTCCTAGTGTTATGATTGCATTATCTTGAATTCTTGGTTTAGATGTTTATGATTGTTAAACCCTACGCTAAAGCTTGCATGGGCTTAGATTTCGCAATTCACTTGGCTAAGTGGGGTTTATGACTGTGAGAAATTTTATTGCTTCGTAGCCGAAGTTCATTGTGGCCGACATTAATAGCTTTGAGGTTGAGATAGATTGACGTCTGCCCAATCGGTTAAAAAACTGTTGGGGTTTGCATAGCTCCTAAAACTTCATAGTCAACTCTATTGAGAAGAGGTTACTACCATGTCACATACCCAACCTTTAGTGACGTCATGGTGAAATATATTGCGGTTAACAACTAGTTGAGAAACTGTTGAAGCCTACAAAGCCCTGAACTTCATACCTGAAGAGAGTTCTTATGGCTTCGTACCCGCAATTTGTTATGAACCCAACTATTGGTGGGCATCACAACCAAGATAAGTTGAGGCTTTCCAACTACTAGCTTAGAAACTGAATAAAAGAATTGTGAAGTAAAAATAGAAGTATCTTCATTATACAATTTTTAACTTGTGCGCGAATAAAAAACAATGTTACATCCCAAAAAATGTGTTATACTGGTTTTAAACCACTTGAGAATCTTTTCATTTGACCCCTAATACAATGAAGACAATCAAATACAAAACTGAGGAACTTCAATGCACCCCACCCTCACCGACCGTTGAAGTTCTGTATTGAAGTTTGTTCCAAACAATCATTAGAACGAACCACAAAGTCCCTAACTAAATATATATATTTTTTCTTATTATCATTGACGGCCCCAGGACAACAGAGCTCGATTGAGTCCAGTCATCATGATAATAAAATTGTTAATCAACTGTAAGAATCTTAATGAGAGTGAGCATTATTCAGTAAGTTTATGTCCAACTAGCAATGAAAAACCACAGGAAAGTGTGCATTAAATTCCCAAAGCTAAACAAGAACTTCTGAAGCTTCATTTTCGGAATAACTAGATCAGCTACACCAGTTCCCATACGAACAGGTTTACAAGTAGGGCTGATTTTATAAATTTAAAACTGAAAATCCAGAGCAACGATCCGCAATTCTCAGTATATTTTAATAGGAGAAGAAGGGTGTGAGTGAATTAACATACCGAATCATGGTATTGACAGGAACCTTCGGGATTGTCGTCGTCAGTGAACATGGCGTTGCAGCCAATTCTCTGGCAGCGAACCCTAGCAACCTGTTGCTCCATAGCTTCTCAGTTTCGGTTTGAGGAATGATGCGAAGACGAGAGAGTTGGATGTCGATGACTAGAATTGAATCTACAGCGCTTTGATTGTCTTTGACGATCCGAGGTTGAAAGACTTGGATATTGTCTCCATGACTGGAACAAATTCGCATTTCGAAGTCGCGTTAATCGCCGTTTATCACACCAGCATGGGCCGCCACTATTTTGTTCCGAGGAACTTTCACGCTTACTTTTTTTTTCCCATTTTTTTTTTAGAATTTTAAAATATCTCCGGTACCTATTCTAGACTAGGCTGTATTTTTAGTACTAATACATGAGATGAGAGATCGAACCCACGTAATTGGAGGTACCGTATGTTCGTTTCAATAGACTCTAAGGTGATTTGTTTGGCAAGAATTCAAAATTCTCATATGAGACAGACCAACGTTGGAGTTTATCCATTTGTTTTACATAAATCTAGAAGGGATAATAGAGTGAGTAATCCATTTAGAGCTTATATTTTCAACCGTGTTTATTTTAGGGTTAACAATCTATTTTTAACATTATAATTACGAAAATGTCTACTATCTCAAATATTTACACTTTTGTCATAGATACACATTTTACGTAAATTACTAATTTTATCCTGATATATTTTTAATTTTGAAAAGAATTTTCAACAATACTACCATTTCCTACCATGAGTAGTATATTATTTTTTTTTTATAAATATTAGGATATTGTTTCTTAAATGAATGAGGATATTTGACTTTATAGTCATTTTGTTAAGGTTTTATTGGTACATCATTAAAATAATATTAATTTGAGTGGTTGTGAGTAATGTTCGAAAAAGAGTATATTTTCAATTGTATAATCCTAGGTTGCCATTACCATAAAGGTAGAAGAGAAAATGTTTAAATTAAAATAGTAAAATAGGAAGAGAAATTTTCTCCCTATGACAACTTTTATATATAGTATAGATTATAAGATCAGTGAAATACCTAAAATGAAATATATCACCGATATACTTGATATAACAATAAAAACCCTGCAGTGTTACTAGAACCAAAATCTTCGATCCGAAGAAAATTTATCAATTATATACCTAGTATTTTGTATATCATTTATATAACTAATGTACCTAAAATAAAGTATATCATTAATATATACTTGATATATCACAAAGAAACCAATAATTTTATTTCAACCAAAATCTTCTAACCTAAATAAAATTTAATAATGATGTAATTAATATGAAGTATATCAATTCATATATTTAGTGTGATAGATATACTTCATATTAGATATATCAATTATATCAAAGATGTAATTAAGATTTGATATCACATCTGATATACCTAATATCAAGTATATCACTCGTATATTTGTCCACCCTGCGGTAGAAATTACATTGGAATTGCTACTATTATTATAACAAAGTTGGCATAATGACTTATTTAGTAAAGAACGATGAACTTTAGCTTACCAAGGTGCAAATTTTAATCTAGCTAAAAAGAAAAAGCGAAAATTGCCTGACATTAAAAATCAAACAAAATGTCTGCTACATGAACTTAGGATACAAAAAACCTATGAATATATACTAATACGTTGACAAACAATTTCAATAATGCCATCCCATCCCACAATAATCTCTGCTACAGAGTGATATCAAACCTCTAAATTCAACTAAAATTGAGAATGTAACATAGTAATACCATCAGCAAAATGTTGCATGATTTCCATGTCCACGTGACAATCGGCCCTCCCGAGCTACGTCGATGTTGCCTGGCACAAAAAACATAAGAATTCAGAATAAATACAACAGAGGGAGGGGGGAGAGGTCTGTTTAAAATTTTAAAGTTACATACGTCTGTAGACTCTGCAGGGCACCGCAATATAGAACATTTGGAGGAGGAGCCATTTCGGTTTCCCCATTTTCCTCAGGATTGGTAATTTTCATGTATGTTTCTTGGCCCAAATACCATCTATCCAGATTTTCTGCTCTTATATTCCATGTTCCAACATTGTCCAGAGAAATGAGGATTGCAGTCCAAGACCCCGGATATACCTAAACAGCAAATTATAGGAACCGAATTGAACCATTTAAGAGGACGAATGCAAATATGGTAGAGCAACAAGTATAAGAAATCACATAATATTAAAAATATTTTTCAGGAGAGAACCGACCTTTCATTTAGAATAATGAAACAAAAATAAAAGGCATACAAAAAAAAAAAGAAACTAAAATAACGGGCTCCAACCAAGCAAAATCAAACCTAATGAGTAATTATTTCTTTATTGTTATTATTTATTTATTTGTACACTACCATGCTTTTTTAAATCACAATATATGAAAATTAGTTTTTTGCTTTCCATAGTGTAAGCATGAACAACATTCACTAACTAATAACTAATATAAGAAACAGTGAACTTTTGTGTGTTTCTAAAACAGTAACAGTAAGCATATTGTGATCCAACCTAATTCCAAACTCACAATACTTTTACTGTCGCACCATTCCAGTTTTTGTACTTCCAATTGTTTCTAATTTGGACCCTATCAATCTCTTGTTGATATCAGCATCTATGTGGTGCCACGTCAGCAGCTACAAAGTGACACGTCAACTCACTAGTGGTACCACGTCATCTCTTATTAATTTAACTAACAAATGGACAAATCATGATATATTATCGAAGCACGAGGACTACAATTAAAATATTTAAACTACGAGACTAAAGTGGAATTGATGGAAAAATACAAGACTAAATTTAACCTATTTAAACATTTAGTAACAGTATTGTGTGATGAAATTCAAAAGAAAAAGTTGTGGTCGTGGTTTCAATAACATCCTAAAGAAATTACTCATTAGCACAAGAGGAGAGAAAAGAAAACGAAAACCAACCTGTGTTGTGCAGCGACTGATTGCATCCCACTTATTGTAGGAACCTCTTTTGTCCTCTGACCAATCACCATAACCCATCCTGAGATAAAGCCCCTTTTAGACTTCAAAACTTTTTAGTAAAATAATAATACCAATTATAATTTGAAAGTCCAGAACATTAATGGAAATGGAATTCACCCTGCAACAAAGAAGGAATAACCATTCACATGAAAACTCTGCATTGTTGCGTCATTATTCTGAAATATGACCTCAATAAAGCCTTTATATGTAGCATTAAGAACAGATCTATCAGCATGTGGCGTCCGGTTGAACGGCCTATCAGGAAAATCAAGTTTGTAAGATCCCTTCACATTATTCTGGTCAGCAAGCCTGATGGGTGTATCGGGATTGACAAACGAAATACCATTAAGGGTAGCTCTAGGTGACCCATTTATCGTCACCAGCGGTGCACTCTTCAATAGATATGTTTCAGTCACATTAATTTGACCATAGTGAAACGATCCCTGGGGATTGGGACGAGCTCCACTTGCAGTTACATTTTGCCTAACAGAGTCAATTGAGTATCATATCATTAGCTAGAAACATGTCGAACTCATAACTAATAATTAAGAAGATGACTTCAGGTAATATGGGGAAGCAACTGCAGGCAATCATATCACTTAAAAGTTGACTTTGACGTATAATATCGTTATGGACGAAAAATAATTGTAAATATCAAATCTACTTGCAAATAGCAGCATTTGACATCACATCAAAAGTGCAAGATTGCTATACATTACAGAAAGGTGGAAACCAAAATAATGAGTAAATCGTTCTTGGGTCCATATATTCAAAACATTTCTTGCAGGGCATATTGTGGAAGTAATCAAGCATTATGTGAAAAGACAATTGACCTTCCCTCGAGCAATTCGGGCAAGTTAAATAACATACGCATACCTTACACTCCTTGCCTGGTTCATGGATCTCTCTTTGTCATACATGTCATTAGGTGGGTCAGGAAGAGGACCAGTTGCCGGTCCTTTAGAATTAGAATAGTGCAAGGTGGCAACTCCGGTAACCCTTTCCCAAGTAGATCCGTTCACAAACCTAGCACTTGCAACAATGTAGTAATCAGTGCTAGCGTTCTGATCCATGGTAACCAAGAAAGAATATGACTGCCCAACATGAATATCAAAGTCGGTGAAATTTTGTTGAACTGTGTAATGTCCCTCCGTTTCTACAAGAAGCAGATTATGATTCTGGATTCTAAAGTTCAAACTAGTTGAAATACCAACATGATGCACACGGAGTCGGTAGGTTTTCCCTGCATCACATAATGTCAACATCAATCAAGATCCCGGCAGTTGAAAACGGAAAACAGACATGTAACAAAAGCTGCAGTGATTCTAATGTAAGGACATAGCTAGACATGCAAAAGAAAGAGACCATGATTTAAACATATCCTAATAGCATAAAATTCCATCTGAAAGTCATTATCTTCTTTTGTGCATATTATAATGAGATAAATAATCTGACAGAAGCCCATCTAATGTGACTATGAAAATGATACATAGTCAAATTTCCAATCAACGAGAGACAGGAAAAATTATCTGAAGGGGAGAGTGTAATCAACAAGTACTCTGATAACTTATAAAGAACATTACCAGGGTCTACTGGAATGGATTCATACTCGATGCCCGCAGGAACGAGAGTTGTGTTGTACTGATAAGGCCCCTTTCCATTGATAAGAACCCCATCAGGTATTCCGAGGTCCTTTCCAGCATCAAGTGTAGCCCTTAATGCCTGAGAGAAATCAGTATTAAATTGCTATTTATTTTCCTTTCATTCACATAAAAACACAAAAAACCTGCTTAATACGGACCGTATGGTTTTGTGTGTACCAATCACCAATAAGCAGTAGAATATCCCCATCAGGTTCTGCAAAAGGAATTGGGATTATTTCCCTGTTATTGAGAATAAAAGGACCAAAACCACCAGATGCCCTCTGAAAGTTCAAAGATGGAAAATAGAAGAAGCTCCCAATTTGATCCTTCACTTGAAACTGGTAAGTCCAATTCCACTTCGGTGGAATAGGACAGTTGGTGCCAAGAAGACCATCCTGCCACGAATTACGTCGCATTTGAATCCCAGGCCTGTCACAACAAGCCATCTCCAATCACATAGAAAGCATGCTTAAACACAAAATTCATTGCTAACAACAAGCGAGCACCATGTACAAAAGGAAGTTACTAGACCACAGGCAACCTACCAAGTGAGAAGGAGATCTTCATCTAAATCGTTCCAAACATTCACGGCCACATTGTTATTCGTTGTGGCATTGACTACGGGTCCAGGGAACTTTCCATTAACTGCTATAACCTGCAATAAGAAGTTGTTAACAAACTCAGTTGACTCACTCAAACCTCTATCTGTATTATACAATTTAGCATCTCTGAGACTCGAAAACTGCAGTGAAAAAGGTCAAACTGTTTCTAAATATATTGTAAAAATCAGAGAAAAATCCAACTAAAGATCACCCACGCAGACGTCCAAGAGGCACAAAGGAACCCCCCTTCCCCCCGAAAAGCCAAACTACAGCAACCATAACAAAGAAAGAACAAAATTAAAAGAACCGTGAGAAACACATATCTGTTTTCTCCAGCACTAGTCTCCGTCACTTAATTTAACAAATCCACAGTCCTAAAACGAAGAAAAGATGCTGAAAACAGTTCAAAATCCACTTAGAAGATGACAATAATCTTGAAGATCACAGAAAAAGAACCCCCCAAGCCCCCAAAAAGTAAACAAATCCACAAGTCAACTCAGGAAGTCCCAAATCCGAAGTGAAAAATCAGTAAGGACCAAAACCAAAATCTGGGACAAATCCATCAACCAGTAGAGTGCACATAGAAAACAACAAGCTGATAAATAGAATCCAAATCGAAAGCAGAAACAAAGACCAAAACCAAAAATGTTCAATGCATTTCACCAGTCCGAATCGAAAACCAGAGTGCTACACAGAAATGAGAGAAAACAAAGTGAAAACAAAGCCCACCTGTTGAGGAATGCCAAGAGGAGAAACAGTGATGTATGAGATGCGGAAGTCGTAAAAGACATAGGGATCGCCTGCTAAGCAAAAGCTGGGAAAAACAGCAATGCAAATGAGAGAGAAGAGAGACGCAGTGAGAGAAATCGAAGCCATTGTATTCTTCCACTTCTGCAACTTCGCGGAACCCAAAACTTGTTTTTGGTATTTACAAGAGAATTTGTCCCAAATTTTGCTAGCAAGATCGAAAGCTCAGAGAGAGAGAGCGGGTGTGTACTGTGCAGTGGTACCGAAACTTCTTCTCCAGGAAGAAAATTGAATTTGAGAGGGGGAAAATGAAGAACCGAAGAGCGGGGGCAAAATTGTAATATGGAGAAGGAAAATACTTGCATCCTTCCTAAAGACCAAATCTTGTACACGGCAGTCTTGAAAATTTTACAACTTGTTTTTTTTTTTCTTTTTTTATAAAAGTCTCTATTTTTTTTATTTCTTTCTTTTAGTTGCCAAACATTTGATTTAATTTTTACTTGAAAATAAATATACATATACCTTTCTTATTTATGGTAGTAGAGACAAAAATTCTGAGCAAGTATTTTTCTATCAATACTGACATTGATCCTAACAAATTTGAGAAGGATATCAAGATGTTCGTGGTCATCTCCGACCATTTGAATGATTCTCTGTTCGAACTGCTCGAGACGGATATGAACCTCTTCTTTCTCATGTATCCATCTTCTTCTTCTTCCTTCTATTTCAATTTTTTAATCTATTTTTTCCAACATGCATGCAAAACTTTCTTTTTCCTTTTTTTTTTGTTAGATATCCATAAATGAATTAAATTTACCTAACTCATAAACTTAAACTTTTGGATTGAATGATGGTTTATTCATCTTTAACCTGCTTTTTATAATTTGAAATAGATCGAGATATTCAAGAGGACTCTGAACTACCCTAGACCTTTCGTTTAAATAATAACAACAGTGGAGGTACTCTCCCAATTATACTACTCATACAAAGGTAATAAGTTATATATTCATAAAATTCTCCTGGATTGTTTATTAATGTCCAGTGACGATTTTGATCTGATTATTATTGATTGAAAATTGGAGGTGAAAGTTGAAACCAGCATAACTAATGCTAATTGACATATATTTTCAATCAAGAGGTTGTGAGTTCGATTCTCAACCATTGTATTGTTAAAAAAAAATGAAATGTTGCGATAATACAACATCATCGAGGAAGATGTAGTGACTATTAAAAGTGTAAAGTTTTTATTTATTTATTTCTGTTTCGGTTTTTCAGCATTTCTTTAAGTATTTATTCTTTTGCTTTCTGTTTTTAAAAACATACTCCCAAAAGTAATATTTTAAAGAAATTTAAATTAAATAAATTCATTAGACCTTATTTAAACTTAATTATGACCCATTTATGTAGTCTTAAAAATTTTTTTCTCTTTTCCAAATTTGATTTAGAAATCAGATTTGTTTTAGAGAAGGTAAAATTGTATCAAAAGAAATGGTGAGGAATCAAGCATGATTTTTTAAAAAACAAAATCGTTATGGAGACTTGTTTGAAAAGTAATATTGTCACTGTTAGGGGTGAGTTGATCGGAAGAGCTCAACTCCTCTTAAGGTCTTTCCTTGGGGATGCACTCAACTCCTCTTGAGATCTTACCTTGAGATGCACTAGGCGGTGCACTGCTCTGCACAGATCCACTCTCATGCAAGGAAGTGCAGCCCCCGCGATCGTGCAACTCTTCTCCATTCGAAGGGAGCGCGGCTTCCATGTTGAGAATCCATATTCATATATGAATTAAATTCACCCAATCCATCAACTTAAGTTTTTGGGTTGAGTGATGGTTTACTCATCCTTAATATGATATCATAGTGGGAGGTCATGTCTCCATTGTTTATAATTTCACAAACCGCTTTATGTTTTCGGAACATTAATTTTCTTTTTCAATTTCTGTGATATAGACTGATGATAGAGTTATGTTATCGTATTTGTTGTTGAAACTCGGGCGGGACAACAACATTAATTAGAAAAAGAAAAAGAAAATAGTTCAGATTCTTCTTCTTGTATCATATAATTGGTGAAAAACATAAAATTTGACATTGAGCACAAGATTCTCAAAACTGTCCAAGAAAGAACAAAATGAATGGGAAGCATTAATTTGCAAAGCTTGCGACAGAATTGAGGTGCCCCATGTACTGGTTGTGTTGGTTCAGAAAAGGGTGGATGAAGGCAGAATTGAGCTGCCATACCTTCACAGTGGCCTTCACAGTTGCTGCTGTGGCGTTGTTGAAAATGAAGAGCTTCGCTGCCCCATATATTGCTTCTGTTGGGTATATTCGTGATGTTATCACTCTTCTCCCTCCTTGTCCAAAACTCTCCACAATTGAGTGATCCACCTGAACAAGTAAAGTAAAGATAAACATAACTTAGTGGTAATTGACATCTACTTCTTCTCTCGAGGTAAAGTACAGTTACCAACTTAACCACCAAATCAACTTTTCGTTACTCAACTAATGACGTGACGATCTTAGAGAGAGACCATTTAAACAAAGTTTCAAACTTCAAGGATTAAGAGTGTTTATTTTGAAATCTCATGGACCAAAAAATAGACACCTACCTCAAAAAAACACTTTAATTTTTTGTTAAAATACTATTTCGTTCATGTAATTTCAAAATGTTCAGTTTAGTCCATCTACTTTCAACTTTGATTTTCTTTCATTTTCGTCCCTGTATTTTGTTTGTTTTGGTCCTGTACTTTTAAAAAGTGACCATTTTGATCATTTCATTTTATTTCAATTTCAACACGATACTATTTAAAATATAAACATTAATTTATATTAAAGGATTTTCTTATGTGAAGAATTCATATTAAAATTTCATAAATATGCATTAAAATATATTTTTGAAAGTAGAAACTAAAATAAACCTTTAAAATGATCCAAAATTAAAAGTACAGTAAACCAAATAAATATTTTGAGATTATAGAAATCAAAATAATTAATTTTCAAAGAAAACCTATCCATGCGAAGAAAGGAAAGGGAGTGCTAATAAAAAATAAACCAAACAACTCAGAACTTTGTGACCGTGTCAGTTTTCAGGTCAAAAACCATTAATGGGACAACAACAGATGTTCTTTCTTCTTCCCAAGAAAACATTGATGGCTGTTTTAATTTTCAAATGCTCTTTGTCCCTAAAATTTTCTTTCATCACACTCTCACACTAATCTCTCTCTCTCTCTCTCTCTCTCTCTCTCTCTCTCTCTCTCTCTCTCTTCATACTTTATTAATTTTCAAGCTCTCTCTTCACACACATTTTCTTACTAACGTCCTCTCTTCACATTTATCTTTTATTATCTTTTACTTACTAATCTTTAAAGAAAATTGGCCTTGAGATACAAGTTTTCGGATAATAAATTAGAATTAAAGATTTTTTTTAATTCTCTTTTTAAAAATCGTACTTATTTACTAACATCTTTTACTTCATCACCTCTAAAATGTATATTAAAGCTAAATTTTGCAGATATAAAAAAAAAACGAAAATTAGTTTCAAAAGTTGCAAGGAAAAGTGTGGCTTACCAATACTCGCATGGAGAAATTTTCACCCTCTAAAACAGGAATTCTGCTCCCATAAACTTGTTTGAAAACATCTGGAGCTTTTGATGACCTGCATTTGAAAAAAACAAACTTCAAATTACAAAAACAACACCAACATCAGAAAACACTTTAATTTTTTATTCTAGTTATAAAGTGGCTACCACTAATATAATGGCGAAAAAATTCTCTAATTCAGTATTAAATCACCACTAAACTCGTAAGCTTAAACGACCGAGAAGATAAGTAAAAACTTGAAAGGTAAATAAATGGTTTAAAACATACCTTTTTTCATCCGCGCAGAAGTAAGCGTGGCGAGTGGAATTGGCAACATTGAAATAAATGGGAGTGAGCTCAGAAAGCGATTCATCAGCTAGAACCAACACCCCGAACGGTCCCAAACTACTCCTCTCCGCCGCACCGCCGCCGCAGCCATCACCGGACCCGGTGGCATCCTCCGACCCAAGCGCCTCCACTTCGAACTCCGCGTAGATGTCCAACTGTTCGACGAAATGCCACAACGAAACGAATCGAATCAAATCCAATCTCATAATTTGAACTTGAAGAAAGAAGTACAGAGATTTCGCTGAAATTGGAATGAAATGAGCGTAGCGATGTGATGGCAGGATTTACTTGTGTAGCGGTGCCGACTTTGAGTTCCACGACGGAGCCAGGCCCGACGACTACGCTATTGAAATCCGTGCTGCCCAATCTCAAGCTCTCCACCTCTTCCACCGGCCACTGGATTATGTTGCTCCCTGTCTTCTGGTCGAATACAACTGTCCTTGGAACAGTCTTTTTACAAAACGCATATAAAAATTAAAAAGTTGTGAGCACAAAAGGAATAAGTTAAAATACTAATTTAATCCATATTTATTTTAGTTATCGTACTTATTATAATGGTAAGACCACACACTATATTCAATATATTTTTAACATGGTTTTTGTTATGGATAGAATTTATAATAAAATTTTAAAAATAAAGGTCAAAATGATTACTTTTTGAATAGTGTAGATAAAAACTAGTACCATAATTAAAATGAACTAAAATTGACAGTAAATTAATAACCAAAATTAAAAAGTAGAAATTAAATGAATATACCTGTACAGAAGCCCAGCCTTTTTCCAAGTCATTTTCTTCGGTATCAGTTTCGTTAATCCAACCCCACAGAATTCTCCTCTCCTTGTTTTGGTCATAAAATGTCTTGGAAGCATAATACCTTCCATAATCCAACTTCAACCCGATTCCCACGTCCTCTTCCGGGTTGGCGGGTACCCATGTATCATTGTCCCCAAAATATGTCCCAATTGCATAATGATCCTCTTTTGTGTCATCCAAACTCGCCTTCAGTACATGCTTCACACCCGTCCCGCTCACCGACGTATCCAAACCCTTCGACCCGTTGACCGATATCGGGTAGAAATCGACGCATTCCCACATCCCCGTACCTGG